TCCCAATGTTCTCTTCACAACCTTCACAAGGAATCAGCACTGATGTAGATTCCATATTTCTAATTAGTATATCATAATGTTTCATAATTTTTTCTTTATTTTTATTTTTCTTTCTTATTGTTTTATTCTTTGTTGTTTTGTTTTCTTTATTCTTCTTATTTTTATTTGATTAGTATTTGTCTTTTTCTTGACTATCCAGTAGTGTTTATTTAAATCGTAATTATTTTGTAATTGAAAGAATTGGTTATAATGCTTGTCAATTATTTGTGTAATTAATTATCCATAATTATTTTTTCTTTGTCACAAAGAAGTTAGATATATAATCAACTAGGTACTATATTCAACAATTGAATATTTATTAAATGATATAATTCTAACAGAAAATTTATGCAACATAATTCATTGTGTCTAAAAATTATATAACACAAAGTTTGTTTTGCAAAAACAGCTATCAAAAGTTTGTTCTTCTTAAATGAAGGTTACAAAGTATTTAACATTAATGATAGACAAATCCAAATGCATGGTAAAAACATCAATGAACAGATGTATTAGGAATAACAACTAATATAAGATTGCAACAATTTCAAAACTTCTTATGGACAGATGAATCATTTCTGAAAACAGAAAAGATAATCAAAATCAAAGAAGGAAGTAACCTTACTGCATCAATAATTAATTTATGTAAGAGGAACAAAATTAAATGGCACCAAACTAAAGAGGATAAATGTAATCTTAAGATTCCATCAGGTGGAAAAATATTAATAGAAATGGTACTGAAAAGTATCGGACAAAAATATGAAACACATAGAAAAAGCTTGAGAGAAAAGAAAATTTCATACTTAGAATAAATTCCAGATCTTGAGCTTAAAAAAGTAATGGAATGGCCAAACATGCAGTCAACTTCATAAACAAAAAGGGTAGAATTCCAAATTGGTATAAACTCATAAAAGACAAAGAGAAAATAATTATAGATTATTATAGTGAAATAATTACACAAATAAATGACAAGCATTATAACCAATTCTTTCAATTACAAAATAATTATGATTTAATTAAACACAACTGGATAGTCAAGAAAAAGACAAATACTAATCAAATAAAAATAGGAGGAATAAAGAAAAACAAAACAACAAAGAATAAAACAATAAGAAAGAAAAATAAAAATAAAGAAAAAATTATGAAACATTATGATACACTAACTAGAAATATGGAATCTACATCAGTGCTGATTCCTTGTGAAGGTTGTGAAGAGAACATTGGGG